TGCTCAAATAAACTCCTAAAATTTTTTATAAGCTTCACTTTATCTTTTAACAGTCCTTTGTTTATAAATATGTTTATGGATCAGATAAGTTATCAACAATTTAATGACGCAGCATGTCATCAGATTAACTATTCCATTAAGAATTTGGAATTTTTCCCATTAAAGATACTATACAGACAGCTAAAAGAGTGCATTCACCTCCTGGTAATGACAGGATGGCATGCTTATCACATATTCAGCTTAGCTTAAATTTTCTGGAAGATAATCTCACTTTAGACGTCAACATGGATGTTGGTGGGTCATTAGTAATTTTTTAAAAGGGGGAGTCCAAATTAAGAATACAAAAATAAAACATCTTTTAATGAAACAGGTGTTCCCTTGGAAAGGGCTGTGGGGGTTGGGCTGGGGAGTGAAACTTTATTCCTCAAACAGCTTGGGTAATTCGAAAATGACTGACCCCATTAAGGGTCAGTTTAATGGCCACTATGGAAGGCTAATAAAAATAAACAACTATCTCTACAAGTACCAAGCCATAAATTCTCTATTGGTAAGTCTATGTTTTGCAAAAGAAGAAAAAAACATCTGTGGATTTTTGTTTTGGAAGTTTTTTGTTTTTGTTTTTTCAACAACAACAATATGCACCCTGGAGACTAATTATCTGCCTTTCATTTCCTGGTCACAAATTACTTCTAAGCTTCATCTTTGTTTTAATATCCGCTTTGTAGCATTTATTTCTGTCTTTTAGCCATGAATACAAATATTAAGGCTATGTTAGCATCATATGAGCAGTAAGGATGTAAAGCGATTTGCTACACATGCAGCCAATGTTTAAGTCATTTCAAGCCACTACAGCTTATAAAAGCAAATTATTTGCCCTTTCCAGGTTCACAAAATATTACTTTCACCAAAGTGGTCTTAGAGTAGCATAGTTACTGAATTAGATGCTGCTGAATTAGTAAGTTTATACTCCCCCAAAGAGTATTTAGTAACTCAGCACATCTACAATTTCCAAATTACTGCTCTCATAAACAAAGACAGAGATAACTGGAGGCTAGAACCTAATGGGTCTCTGGACAGTTGTTATTCCAGTTCAGCACTCGGTGATATCTTTATAGGGATTTCTTTATATCATGTAACTTGATATAGGAATGAAAAGGTGACAGTGGCAGAAGGTAGTAGCAAGGTCTCTGGCTTGTGTGACAGGAAGCTTGGACTCTGTGTCTCTAGTGAGGACCCCTGAACCACAGCTCTAGTCTCAGAAAATCTGGATCATCAGTGTTGATAACCAGGAATCCTATTCAAATTAGTACCCATGAGGCCTTTGTGAATAAAACAGAAGATGACTTTTTGACTGACAGTAGGTTCCTGTGACACAGAGATTAAGACCCTTAAACAAAGGAATAGGACAATAGTTGCTCCTACCTCAGGGAATGTGGAGAGTGGTACCGAGAATGACCAAGGAGCCCCAAAGTAGAATAGGGTTGAGGAGCCTTGCCACAAACGTTGGGTCTTGTTTGCAGGGATAAATGTTTTCCAGTGAAACCCAGGTGGCTATCACTCAAATGCCTATGGAGGGGTTGGGAAGCTTTTTCTGTAAATGGCCAGATAGTAAATATTTAGGGTTTGGGGCACCACGAGGTAAAACCAAGGATATCATGTAGGTGTTTAGATAACAAGAGAGAGAACAAATTTCCACACATTCAGTGTTCAATAATGACTGGGGGTGGATCTTTGTATTTAGAAAAATTCCTCTCTTGGCCCTGACCTCAAAAAATCTCAATAAAATTTTAACACTGCTAAGCCACTGAACTTCAGTTTCTATTTTTGAAAAAAACTCAGAGAACTGTCAATGGCTGAGTCCAGGAGAGTGTATGAAGTTTACCACAGACACTATTGCTGCCACAGCACGGGATAGACTCAAATATTTTCTGCAAAGTACCTGCTGATGAAGAATGCAATGAATAACCATAGGCTATAAACACCTTACATTTTCACAAGTTTGGTAAATTTGTTCAACTAAGTCTTTTTCTGTTCCACACATATTTTTACCATTAGTTGTAACACATCTTAGCATATTTTACTTCAAGTTGTACTGAATTAGTGTTTCCTCAATTTCTTTGAAAATACTCTCTCCTGTAGCTGTTCCACACAGACTATTCATAAGGGCTAAACCTTCAGTCACTTGAAACTTAGCATTGCTTCCTCAAGTAAACAAGCAGTATTGATAACATCTGTCAACTCATCAAGAGCCAAGGAAAACCACTCAAAATCATTTGCTTGCTTTTTAATTGACTATTGGTGTTGCTCCCACTGTCCTCAACACTTGGAGCAACTGTTCTCACCCAAAGGCTAATTGTTTTAAACAAGTTTGTTTTCTCTGGATGTATTTCTTTAGCTGCTGCAATCAAACATGATTTAATTAACCCACCATCAGTAAATGGCTTTCTTTGCTTGGCTAGGAAATGAGCCACTTGGACACTTAGTTTGGTGGCAGCCTCATTTTCATTTTCTAAATTTTTGTGAGGAAATTCTGCTCTGATGAGATATTCCATTTTAAATGTTCCAATTTTTCTGACGATTGCTTTCCTGTGAGTTGGGAACATCGTGATGAGTGCTTAGCCTGGTAATGTTGACATATGGCGTATTCTTTTAGCACAACTATAGTGTCAATGCATAATAAACACAATACTTTGCTATCTGCTGTGGACTGTATTGTGTTGCCCTGCAATGCATATGTTGGAGCTTTAACCCCTAACGTGATTGTATTTAGAGATAGGGCTTTGTGGAGGCAATTAAGGTTAAAGGAAGTTATAAAGGTGAGGTGCTAATTATATAGGATTGGCAGCCTTATAAGAGGAAGAGAGAGCTTGACTCCTCTCTCCCCACAGGCACACGCAGAGGAGAGGCCACATGAGGACACAGCGAGAAGGCGGCCATCCGCAACCGGGGGAGAGAGCTCACACCAGACACTGACCCTGCTGGCACCTTGATCTTGGACTTTCCAGCCTCGATAACTGTGATAAATTAATTTCTGTCGTTTAATCCACACAGTCTGTGGTGTCTTGTTATGGCAGCTTGAGCTAATATAACATCTAATTAGACAACTAAATAATCCATACTGCAGTGTACCTGAAAAGCACAACAGTCAAAGTCTACTTTCCTTTTCTTGTTCTGACATGATGGGTATGCACTGGTAATTTTTTTTAAAAAGGTGCAGTATGGAGATATGCATGACACTTCAAATGCTGTGTAGAGTCATAAATGCGCCACTGTGATTTATAGTGCACTAATCAGCAATGTGAAGAGATGAGAGAACCACATTCGGCCTCTGTTGCAACTACTCAACTCCGCTGTTATAGATCTAAAGAAGCCACGGATGATATATAAATGAATAAGAGTGGCTGTGTTCTAATAAAACTTTATTTCTGGACATTGAAATTTGAATTTCATATAATTTTCACATGTCAGGAACTACTTTTCTTCTTTTGATTTCTTTCAACCATTCAAAAATATTAAAAACCTTACTAGAAGAAAACATTGGGGGAACACTTCATGACCTTGAAGTTGACAATGATTCCTTGGATATGACACCCAAAGTGCAGGCAGCAAAAGAAAAAATAGACAAATGTGACTACACCAAACTAAAAAGTCTCTGTGCATCAAAGGACACACTCAATGGAGTGAAAAGGCAACCTCTGGAATGGGAGAAAATGTTTGTAAATTACATATCTGATAAGGGGTTAGTATCCAGAATATGTAAAGAACTCTGACAACTCAATAACAAAAAAACAACCCAATTAAAAACGGGCAAAATTCTTAAGTAGACATTTCTCCAAAGATGATATACAAATGGCCAACAAGCATATGAAAAGATGCACATCATCACTAGCCATTGAATAAATGCAAATCAAAACTACAATGAGCTATCATCTCACACCCATTAGGATGGCTAGTATCCAAAAAACAGAAAATAACAAATGTTGACGAGAATGTGGAGAAATTGGAACCCTTCTACACTGTTGATCAGGTTGTAAAATGGTACAACCACTGTGGAAAACAGTATGATGGTTCCTCAAAAAATTAAAAATAGAACTACCATATGATCCAGCAATCTCACTTCTGGCTATATACACAAAAGAATTGAAAGCAGAGTCTCAAAGAGATAGTTGCACACCCATGTCCCTAGCAGCATTATTCATAATAGCCAAGTGGTGGAAGCAACTCAAATGTCCATGGATGGTTGAATGGATAAATAAAGTGTGGTATACACCTTCAATGGAATATTATTCAGCCTTAAAAAGGAAGGAAATCCTGTCACATGCTACAACATGGATGAACCTTGAGGACAGTATGCCAAGTGAAATAAACCAGTCACAAAAAGGCAGTTTATGATTCCACTTATATGATGTATGCAAAGTAGTCAAATTCATGCAAACAGAAAGTAAAATGGTGGTTACCAGGAGCTGGGGGGAAGCTGAAATGGAAAGTTGTTGTTTATTGAGTATAGAGTTCAGTTTTTCGAGATGAAAACATTCTGGAGATCTGTTACACAACGATATACTTAACACTATTGAACTGTACACTTAAAAATGGTTAGGATGGTAAATTTTATGCCATATGTTTTTTACCACAAAAAAATAAAAAAAGAAAACATTCTTTGATTGTGTGCTACACAAAAACAGACAGCAAACCAGACTTGGCCTGCAACTTGTAGATTGCCAACACTTCCTCTTTGGCCTAGCCTCAGGAAAGTTCTCCCAGGTTCCATGCCTGAGGGAGCTATAAGAATTATAGAATTATAGAATTAATAGAAAAATTGACGGTGGGTACAGTGGTGGAAAGGCGAGCAGCATTGGAAAGGGAAATATTAAGAAGAGACCAGATAGTGGGTGGGAGAGTGGTGTGGGCAACTATAGCGAAAGAAAGGTGTGAATGGTGAGGAATCTGAGAGCTTGTTTGAGGAAGAAAGGGAGTGTGGACGGTGACAATCCATTGCTCACCTTATCTTCAGGATGGCTGGTTTAGGTGAGTAGGAGGTAATCCATTCATTCACTGTGTAAACTTAGGCAAGTCGATTCCCCTTATCTGTAAAAGAGGAGGGTTGGACAAGATCTGTAGTGCCCCTCCCAGCTCTAAAAACTGTGAAACTCACCAAGCTGATAAAGTGCCAATGACTTTATCCCTTCATTTGAACAGCTTTAAAGACAGGAGACCATCTATGGCTCCTATTAGGTTGATATTTATTTGTTTAGTAAGTAGGGGTAAAAAACTAATTACAGTCTACGGAGTCCTGACCAAGTCCATTTCCACAGCTGGGTCTTCTCTTGATACTCTTGATACCTCAAGCTCTTCTTCCCCTGGGAACCTTAGGAAATAGTGCAGACAGGGAAGGGAATTGGGAGCTGTTGTTAACTCCTGTCTCTTAGTCCCGTAGCAGCTATCTCCTCCTCTTAAAAATCTCTGAAGTTTCTTCCAGTCCTTTAACAAGAATGGTCGGGGAATGGGTCTTGTTTATGAAAAGAATGTAAATCTCAGTGTTCATTTTGAAAAATACTCATCATTTGTGACAGCCTTGTCAAAAACAACACCAGCAAAATTCTTTTAGCTTTTTAAAAAATTCCTCTCCTCCTTAATCAGCGACTACTCAGGGAAAAGCAGGCGTTGGAAGGGAGTCATAAACAGAGCTTCCTCCTTCCAGTTGTTCACCAGGCACTGTTTTCCAAAAAGGAAGAGGCTTCCTCAGCTTTGGCCTCTAGGGTGTTTGGGGGGAGGGCCTTATTAGTCGGGCTACTCCAGTAGCCGTCTCATTTGCTTTCCAGTTTGCCGCTGTCCCGTGATATGTTTATTTGAGTATCAGCCCCAGAACTGACTGGCCTTTGTTTCTGGCCCAAGGAAGCTCTAGTCAGAATGGGAAAGTTCAGCCACACCGTTCAAGTTAAACACATTACAGTGAGGAAACATGAACTTCAAGACTCTGGGACCAGGTTAGATTTGTCAAAGTAAATGCCTTTCCCCGTGTGGTGCTTTTGTTGACTTCCGGGACTGGTTGTCGTGTTAACCTCATGTTTGCTTAGCAGTTTTCCTGGGGTGATTTAATTACCATGATGTCTTCTCCAAGAAAAAGGAAATTGAAAACCCACAGACTCCCTTTGTGCATTCATTGCCATGTTACAATAAATTATTAATGATATGCTAACAAATAATACCTTGCAGGTCTGAGGTGTGATTGGTTATACACTTGCACATGCATGTTCTTCTTTAACATAACAAGCCCTGTGAGGCGGACAGAGTAAGAGTTTTATCCCCATTTTACCAATGATGAAACCGAGGCTCAAAGAAGTTCAGCGACTTGCCCAAGTCAGTGGTTAAGCCAAGACTTAACAGCTTTTTGCAGAGCATCACACTGCTAAGCTTTTTTCGGAAAAGCAGAGATGTTGCTTACGACAGGGCTTAGATTCAGCTTGTAGACAAACATAGTTGTTAAAAGCATGAAGACTTATGCACTGGTTGGTAAAGAGCTGCTGCCTTGAGCCCTTCCAATGGTTTCCCAGGTTGCACCAGCATGGGGGAGACCCTCTGGGATGTGGCTGTCCTGATGCCTGCCAGCTCCCTTGTGCAGGCTCCCATCCATATGCATCCAGATGACCAGAGTTGAGATAGCACCGGCTGGAGAGGAAACACCACGCCGAGCAACAGTACCGGCACCATAGAGTGCAAATGAGTGGTTCTCAGCTGAGCCCTCCCTGCCAGCACAGCTGCCCACTGCTGGCTGGCATGCCCCTCGAGTGCCTTCAGTTAGCCACTGATGAGAACTTCAGCCTCTCCAACATATCACACCACTTCTTAAATATTTTTAACATCATTCGGACTTATAATCAACACAAACCAACAGCAAAACTGGGAAGTAGATCCCTATCACTTGTCTTTTCCCCACAGGGGGTGCTCTGCTCCCTCAATAGGTGTCTTGTTCCTCCACCCCTCCCCCACAGTTGGCTTCACTTCCCTTCGCTTCAGGGTGATATCTGGGCTAGAGCTCCTCAGGTGTTTCCTCCCTTCCTTCTACCATACCCACCTATCTAAGCTGTCAGAGCCTGACTTTTTTTTTTTTTTGGTGGGGAAGAGTGTCCCTGAGCTAACACCTGTTGCCGATCTTCCTCTTTTTGCTTGAGGAAGAGTGTCCCTGAGCTAACATTGGTGCCAATCTTCCTCTGTTTTATGTGGGACGCTGCCACAGCATGGCTTGATGAGTAGTGTAGGTCCACACCTGGGATCCGAACCTGCAAACCCAGACCACCGAAGCAGAGAACACAGACTTAACCACTATACCCCTTGGCCGGTCCCCCGAGAGCCTAACTTTTGAAAGTGTTAGGGACTGGTGAGGGTTACTTATGATGCATAAGGACACTAGGTCTTAGGGACATCTTTACTGATAGAACTGCAGACCTTGTGAGGAGTGGGATGGGAGATATTTTTTGAGAGCTGGCTTTTCTGCCCTCAAGCCATATTATTTAAAAATATCTACCAAAAAAAGTGGTTTTTTGATTGTTCAGTATTTCCAGTGAATATTGAAACATTTGTAAGATCCATTTTTAATGTTTGATTACCTTCAATTCTACAAGGAAAATAGGAAGTCATATTTAAAGACAAGAAATATATTTGGGAGGAGGGCATTCCCTCCAAATTACTCTTAAGATGGACATAAGATGCTATATTATGTGGTTAACAGCATAGGCATTCAATTTCTTATTACAAATGGCAAGGAAACAAGAGAGGAGAAATCTATAGATTAAAAGAGACTTAAGAGACATATTAACCAAATGCCATTATATGATACAGACCTTGTTGGATCATGATTCAAATAACCTGTTGTGGAAAAAAAAGAAAAAAAATTATAGGACAATTGGGGAAATATGAACACGGACTGGACATTTGATGATACTAAGAAATGATTCAGGGCCCGGCCCCGTGGCCGAGTGGTTAAGTTCAAGCACTCTGCTTCGGCATGCCAGGGTTTCGCCAGTTCGAATCCTGGGCCCAGACATGGCACTGCTCGTCAAGCCATGCTGAGGCGGCATCCCACATGCCACAACTAGAAGGACCCACAACTAAAAATGCACAACTATGTACCAGGGGGCTTTGGGGAGAAAAAGAAAAAATAAATTTTTTTTTAAAAAAGAAATGATTCATTGTTACAGGTGTTGTTATGTTTTACAAAAAGAGTCCATTTCTTTTGAAGCTACATATTGAAATATTTACAAATGAAAAGATGAAATTCTGTGTGTGTGTGTTGAATGGGGACTGGGTGAGGTATGGATGAAACAAGATTGGCCATGAGGTGGTGATTGTTGAGGCTGAGTGATGGACACGGGGGGATTCATTATACTACCTTATCTACTTTTGTTTATGTCTGAACATTTTTAATAATAGCAAAGGCTAAAAACATAGAGCACAAGGTTGAAGTGATGCCCTAAGAGAAGTCACCTCTCTGAGCCTAAATGTCCTCATCTGTAAAGTGGTGCTAATGTGAAGATTGAATGAAATAATATAAAGAACTTAGCACAGAGTATGGTACATAGTAAACAGACAATAAGTAGTAGATCTTATTATAGTCCAATTATTTTTTTCCAACTTTCTGAACCTATAATTGCAAATACTAGGAGATTTTATGCCCTAAGAAGTTCTTACTGCTAAAGTAGAATACTTGTGCAATACACAGATGTCTACTGCTGTTTTCCAGATGGGGAGCATGTCTGGGAAAGAGAGGCTGTGCAAGCATCACAAATGGAAACAATGGCAAAGAATCAGACAATTAGTCCTAAGGAATAAGAAAGCCTCGCTGTGCAGCTCTGAGCCTTTACAAGCATCCTTGAGAACACACAGCATCTGATATTTTGTTCTGTTTCCCCCCTTTCCTCTGCCACACACTGCCCAATAGTGAATGTTGATTGACTAATCAATTAATTCTCCTCAGGGTTCTTCAGAACACAGAAGGAGAAAGCCTGGTTGCTGCTGAAGCAGGAATAGGAGTCCATTCCTGACACAGTCCTTATGCCTCACATAGGACTGAAGAACTCTGTAATAGAACTTGCTTTAATTCTTTTAACAAATATTTACCAAATGCTTACTGTGTGCTAGGACTCTGTTAGACACTTGACACACATTATCTCAACATCTGGCCCAACTCCATTTTAGACTGAGGTTTGGAGAGATTCTGTGGCTTGCCCAGGGTTACACAGCTAGGAAGTAGCAAAGCTGTTATTCTGAATGCAGAGCCATCAGACTCAGAAACCATGTTCCCTTAATTAGCTTGATTGTAATAAGTATTTCACTATGTATATGTATACCAAAACATCATGTTGTATACCATATATATATACATACAGCTTTTATTAAAAAATAATAATAAAGAAACCATGTCCTTTACTTCTAAGTCTTTACTGTAACTTCATACCCATTATCAGAATGAGAGGTGAGAACAAGGGGATTCTAGATAATACATTTTTTCTCGCTGGGCCTCATTAATATCTCAAAGACTTCTTCCCAGTATGGTTTATTTTTGTTGCCAAAGCTTTGATGTGCAAATAGAAAGGCCGCCTTGGACATGCAGTGTTACATTGGTTTCCATATTGTTTTCATGAACTTTAAAGATACACAGAACCAAAGCCTTGTATTGCTGTCAGGTCATCAATGCTTCCTAAAGCCACGTGGTCTTTGTAGAGGAGAGAGTTGTAGAACAAAGAGGTCCTTCGTGTTCCGGCTCAATACCGAGTCCATGTTGCACAGGCAAGTCCAGGGTAAGGCAGGAATGCGGCATCCGTTGAGCTCAGCTGTAAGGGAGAGGTGGGCTGCCAGACAAGATCCTTGCCAGCTCTGAGTGATTACAGGCTTCCTGGGCCCAGCCAATTTACCTGCTTCTCAATAAGATCTTTATTTGTCCTTCTATTCTTGTCAAAAGCTGTTGTCATTTCCTTTTCTGTCTGGAGACACTGGGAGCTGCCTCCAGGCAGTATGACAATGCGGGCCCCTTGTGCAACCCCCAACTCACCAAGATGAAAAATATCTTAAAACTCCCCTTATTTGGCTGT